ACAGTAAGATTAAAAGACAGATTTTTTTTTTTTTCTGTAAATTTTTTTTTTTTTTTTTTTTAACAACTTAAAAACTATAATTAAGTTTTGGAGACAGGGCCTGTCCATTGCATTCTTGGTGGTCTACACCGCAAAGAATAGGAACGAGTTAATGACTGTCGAAGTGTTTGTTTGGATATGAAAAAAAAAAAAAAGAAAGATTAAAAATAAACTTCTAAAGTGACTAAACCTGGTTTAGCGACTTTCCATGATCTGGAATAAAACTGCAACTCGTTTTTATCAAGTATGATGACACGTCGTGCTTCAGTTTAATCTTTGAGATACAGTTTGCGTAATTATCGTGGTGTTCTCGGTTGGCTAGCAATGACAATGTAGCTCAACTTCCCTGGCCTGCATACGTATCTTAAAAGACGCCATTAAGGTTAAATGAATGCATTCTTTTAGCCACAACTGAGTAAGTGTAAAATCGTTTGTGCTGCATTGACAAGTTTCATGATTTGTATTAGCTGATGTCGCTAACGGGCTATCGGTGCTTTGTTGGCATGGAAACCACAGTTTATTTACATTTGGGGACCAAACCAAAACACACAACAAATAGGCGGCTGCCATTTGAGACCTACTGGTTTAGGTTGTTATGAAAACAACCACGACAAATGATAAAACGGTTGTAGCTACAGTGATGAGTAACAGTCTAAGGAAATTCGGTGGTTGCCTCACGGACGTGTCAGCTTTATTCTGGTATGTCTCAATGACGTATCAATGCGTTCATTTTCGGATCATATAGACCATGCGTGTCAAACTCAAGGCCCGTGGGGCCAAATGCGGCCCGCCTAGCCGTGCTGTGTGGCCCGCGGGAGCTTAAAAAGCATTTAGTAAAGTCCATGCAGCATGAGTTTCTTAACCTGAGAAATTAAAAGTATTCATATTCACATTTTATATCCTGTTAGAAGTAGAGTCTGAATGACCTATTATTTTAAAATATTGTTAGATTATCTTTAAATAAAGAAAGTAAATGGAGATGATTTTCATACTGCGGCCTGGTACCAATGTGATTTTCATACTGCGGCCCGGTACCAATGGACCTATGGACCCGAACTGGTCCGCGGACCAGGGGTTGGGGACCCCTGATCTATACATGTCTTCCATTTACAACCGGCCCTTTAAGGGGAACTGTATTGCTGACGTGGCCCCCGGTGAAAATGAGTTTGACAACCCCCGATATAGACTTTTCATTTGACTCGGGTAGGGTTGGATATGGAGTCATCTTCGCTCGAATCTGAATCGCACCAGTTACTTCTTCGGCCACGCTACTAAGCAGACCACAATGCACTTTGAGTAAGAGAAATTCGGAGGGCATCCTTACACCAGAGCTGTTGGAGTCCAGATGAGAAAGCAAATCTAGACTCCAGTGGGGTCCAAACCAGAGGGTAGTGCATCATGTGTTTAAAAAAAAAAAAAAAAAAGCTAACGTCATGCCCTTTTTCTCTTCCTAGTCAGTACTGTTTTGAGCAATTCCACCTTGTGACTTTCCTGGTGTGAAAGTACATCATCCTGACAATTTATTTATTTTTTTGCACGCAATCAGAGCTGATGTCTAGCAATGTAATTTAAATATTATGAAATGATATAATGTGTATTTTGCCATGCGGCTCATCTTCTGATTAAAAAACACATCCGGTTTATATGACCATTAAAACCCACTTGAAATAATCACCTCCACTCAGATGGCGTTGGAAAGGTGTTTAATTTGCCTAGTCTGGAGAAGGGACATAAATATGAAATATCAATTATTTTACCTACTTATGATCAAAATGCTAAGTGGGAATTAATTTACGAACGTAAAAACAAAATGACTGTCAGTATCTACACGTGAGTTCTGCCGTATTAGTGGATGCAATTTAAGTCGCAACTATTTAAAGTGACTGTAACTGACAGTGTAATTGGCCCCACATACGTCTTATACTGGTAAATGTGATGTTTTGCGTGCGTGTTTGCTAACTCAGTTAGCCGGAGCTTGTTAGCCGGCAGATCAGACACTGTAATGTCTTCTAACAAATTGTGTGATAATGATGTCATCCAAAACTGCCCGTTCTTCTTTTTAGACGCTGGTTCCAAAGCTACTTTGACTTACATGATCGTGATATATTTTTGATATTTAAATTGAATCCTCTAAGATTGTCAAAACCCTTTCCGTAAGCAATTGGCCACTGGACATTTTCCACTGGACACCTGTGGTCAGTTTCATTGTCTCGTTGACTTTTTAACTCAATATGCGATAGTACAAAGTTCTGTTGTACAGTAAATCTTACATCCTCAACAAGGATGTACTCATCTGTGGTGACTGTGAACTGCTGAAAGGATATAAGAGTATAAATAATTATATATATAAGTATATAAGTATAGTAATGGTTGTAAAACAAAGGTAATAAGTTCCCGGAAACTCCGGTTTGATGAAAGATCCCTTTTTCAAACGTTTAATAAAATGATCTCAAAAGCTTCCTAAAATATAATTAACATTGAGATAAAACAGATCCTTGTTTAAACTCTGTACTTTTGTTCTGAAAAACACTTTCACAACTTTTGGGGGGGTTGCGCAGAGGTTAAAATATGGTAAGATTGTTGTGTTTGTGATGCCTTTGCGTTGAAAGCAGCGCTAGCGCCTTGGCTAACCTGTAGTGAGCACAGGGGCTAAATCATATTATATCACTCTAACTGTGCAGTCACTAGGATGACGAAACAGGATGACTGTATTCGCCTGTCTCAACAAGGCATTGCGTAACCATTTTAAGCACCAATGGCCGTAGCCTGCAATGATTTCTTGGGTACATTTTTCAGTCACAGTATCATTTCAGTTACCCAATACCCCTGTCCTAAATTTAACAGTTTTTTGTTTTTTTTTTCACAGTCATTATTTGTACTGCATACTGACACACCGTTTAATCTGCAGTAGACATCAGTTTTCAGTTGCCTCTCTACATTTTTAGCGTTTCAGTCGTGTTGAGTTTTACCACGTACGGGGATGTTCTCGACACGACGAAAGAAAGCAAATGTAGCCTATAACACAATATATGGCATACTATTGTTGTGAGTGTAAGCGAAACCGTCGCATACATCAGAATAATGGAACAATACTTTGTTGATGAATTTATGGGAGATAGCGATGTAACTACAAAACTCCGTGAGTTGAGGACGTTGTAAACTGAGGACGTTGTAAATCGAGGACCTCCTTTATATGATTATCTGTCTGTTTGTTGTTTTTTTTTTTGGGGGGGGGTATTATTCACTTTTACAGCAGCTGTTTTATACTAAGACTTTGACTGTGGCTTTGTCATAGAACTTACATTAATAGCTGTGATTTCAGTTACTACCTTCCGATTGGTCATTTGGAGAGAACTAAGTCTTGCTTTAATGTCGAATGATAGTTCCATCCATCCATCCATCCATTTTCATCCGCTTATCCGTTACCGGGTCGCAGGGGCAGCGGTCTCTACGACCGCCACCCAAATCACACTGCACCGTACCAACCCCCCCTGAACCTTCCTGCGGGTGGTGAGTCCACTGGAAGGGACCAACCGCCCTAACCGGGGTTCGATCTTGCCCAGGAGGTGAACCCTGAGGTTCTACGCCAATGACGGAGACATTAACTCTGGGCCAAAGCGCCACGTCCAATGATAGTTTAAAAGTAAAAAGAATCATTACAATATCTGGTCAGTGTGGGACATTCTAATGACCCTAACCCTTGTTGTCTTCTCCTTCAGGATGGAGCGGATGTCTGACGAGGCGCTGAGGCTCAACCTGCTAAAGCGAGGACTGGAGTCCCCCAGCGAGCGAGAGGAGGCAATGGCCAAGCGCCTCAAAATGGAGGGCCACGAGGCAATGGAGCGCCTCAAAATGCTAGCACTCCTAAAACGCAAAGATCTAGCAGAACTTGCAGCCCTCGAAGTTTCAGGGCCCATGGGAGACGGAAAGAGCGCCGGAGCCAGTTCACTCCACCACCAGAGCCTCATGGGCGCAGCGTATGAGGAGAAACTGAATGGGAGCTTGAGATTGGGCGGCCACGGTGGTCACGTTGGACCCAGCAAGAACGGAAAAGAGAACATCCTAGATGAACCTGTGGATATGAGCGCCGGGAGAAGATGGTAAGAGAAATATATTTCAATCTGCCCTTTCAACTCGAATTCTCATTTGCTTTTTGTGTGTGCATTTATGACGACGTTCTGTTGCGATCACGGTAACCCAGGCATGAGCAAAAACTGAGGCCAGACGCAGCCCATTCAGTGGTCATATACAGTGGTCCCTCTTTTATCGCGGTAGATAGGTTCCAAGGCCTGCCACGAGAACTGAATTTCCGCGAAGTAGTGACACCATATTTATGCGCAGTAAAATGATGACGAGGAAGGTGACGATGACTTTTGCTGCGCAGCCGATGATTGATTTTACTTGTCTCTTTAGAGGGTGGTGCCATTTCTTGGTGCCACCTCTTCCACGGTTTCCGAAGGTGTATCCGTAGTAGTCGCAGGAACTGGCTCTTTTTTTGCGAGGCTGTCGAACGTTGTGATCGGCAGTTGCTTCCGCTGCTTCTTTTTCCAGTCGAAGCTTGTCATGACGTCGTCGATTTTGTTGCAAAGTTGGACCGATCGAACCATCTCGTAGATGCAGATCAAAATCCGATAGATAGATACAGTATATTTTATATATACCCGCGAAGTCGTAAATCCTCGAAAGATGAACCGCGAAATAGCGAGGGACTACTCTATTATACGTAATAAAACTCCAAATTCCCCAATATGTCAGAACTTCGGATGCGATAAATAACCAATAATATGAAAGAATTAAGGAAGACTTACTGCAAAGTCAACAGCTTTCATAACAGATAGTGTATCAGGTCACTGATCGGTACATGATTGTGAGTGTTTGATTGACCAATGACGGAGACATTAACTCTGGGCCAAAGCGCCACGTCCAATGATAGTTTAAAAGTAAAAAGAATCATTACAATATCTGGTCAGTGTGGGACATTCTAATGACCCTAACCCTTGTTGTCTTCTCCTTCAGGATGGAGCGGATGTCTGACGAGGCGCTGAGGCTCAACCTGCTAAAGCGAGGACTGGAGTCCCCCAGCGAGCGAGAGGAGGCAATGGCCAAGCGCCTCAAAATGGAGGGCCACGAGGCAATGGAGCGCCTCAAAATGCTAGCACTCCTAAAACGCAAAGATCTAGCAGAACTTGCAGCCCTCGAAGTTTCAGGGCCCATGGGAGACGGAAAGAGCGCCGGAGCCAGTTCACTCCACCACCAGAGCCTCATGGGCGCAGCGTATGAGGAGAAACTGAATGGGAGCTTGAGATTGGGCGGCCACGGTGGTCACGTTGGACCCAGCAAGAACGGAAAAGAGAACATCCTAGATGAACCTGTGGATATGAGCGCCGGGAGAAGATGGTAAGAGAAATATATTTCAATCTGCCTTTCAACTCGAATTCTCATTTGCTTTTTGTGTGTGCATTTATGACGACGTTCTGTTGCGATCACGGTAACCCAGGCATGAGCAAAAACTGAGGCCAGACGCAGCCCATTCAGTGGTCATATACAGTGGTCCCTCTTTTATCGCGGTAGATAGGTTCCAAGGCCTGCCACGAGAACTGAATTTCCGCGAAGTAGTGACACCATATTTATGCGCAGTAAAATGATGACCGGAAGGTGATGATGACTTTTGCTGCGCAGCCGATGATTGATTTTACTTGTCTCTTTAGAGGGTGGTGCCATTTCTTGGTGCCACCTCTTCCACGGTTTCCGAAGGTGTATCCGTAGTAGTCGCAGGAACTGGCTCTTTTTTTGCGAGGCTGTCGAACGTTGTGATCGGCAGTTGCTTCCGCTGCTTCTTTTTCCAGTCGAAGCTTGTCATGACGTCGTCGATTTTTTTGCAAAATTGGACCGATCGAACCATCTCGTAGATGCAGATCAAAATCCGATAGATAGATACAGTATATTTTATATATACCCGCGAAGTCGTAAATCCTCGAAAGGTGAACCGCGAAATAGCGAGGGACTACTCTATTATACGTAATAAAACTCCAAATTCCCCAATATGTCAGAACTTCGGATGCGATAAATAACCAATAATATGAAAGAATTAAGGAAAACTTACTGCAAAGTCAACAGCTTTCATAACAGATAGTGTATCGGGTCACTGATCGGTACATGATTGTGAGTGTTTGATTGAGACATCGGGCCATCCCTGATCAAAACCAACTCTTATTTTGACAGGGTATCCCTAGGTCGAGTATGGTTAAAAGTCATCTGTCAGTCACAAATGATTGATTTAATTCAACTTCCGTTTCCAATATCAACCGATATGTAACTGTTTTTCCCTAAAACTGCACCAAACATCTCAGGACGCCACAAGCGACTCCACCATATTTGGCGAAAACCCAAACATTGCATTATCGCGTTTTCATTATAGGAAGACGACTATTCTCGCATATTACATAAGTATGCTAATATGCGGTCCATAATATCAGACATCCCTAATTTTATCTTATGTAAAACAGATGTGGGGTCAAAAATACACTGACCTCACAATGTTTGCCGCTTGTCTGGTCATATGCACTGCTGTTAGTAAGGAACAGAAAGAGGTTGCGACCCAGTCAGCAGTCTTCCGTGCCTCCAAGTAACCCTTTGGCGCTCTTTCCCCTGAGCCGCAGGGCAGCTGTTATACCACGCGTACGTACAGCGCAGAAAGATGCTCTCTATTGAGCAGTGATAAAAGGATAGCAGCGGTTGCTGGGTTGATGTTGTCACTTCCCGAGCACCCTTAGGAAGTGAAGTCTCTGCTGGGCCTTTTTTCAGCAGCTAAGAGGTGTTTGTGCCCCCCCGGTCAGGTTCTACTACTCTAAGTAGGTCAACAGTGTCAGCGGTTTGGAGGTATTAGCATCCCGGATGAAGACGGGAGCAAGGCTTGCTCCAGGATTTGTTCTGTTACAACACAGGCAATATGGGTTAATAAAACACACAAAGACTCGCCTTAGCATTGAATATGTAAGGTTGTCTGACGGTTGATGGACGAAGGTTTGCTGGATGAGGCTTCGACAAATAGCTTTTGGGAGTACTTTTTTGACTAATTGTGAGTGCTCATTTGTTTATTGAAACCCTGAAATAGTGACTCCATCCATCCATCCATTTTCATCCGCTTATCCGTTACCGGGTTGCGGGGGCAGCAGTCGCCACCCAAATCACATTGCACCGTACCTAAACCTTCCTGCGGGTGGTGAGTCCACTGGAAGGTATTAACCGCCCTAACCGGGATTCGAACTCGCCCAGGAGGTGAACCCTGGGGTTCCACACCAATGACAGAGACATTGCCTCTGGGCCAAAGCGCCACTGAAATAGTGACTCCTTGTACCGTATTTTCCGGACTATATGTGGCTCCGGAGTATAAGTCACACCAGTGCCCTCTAGCGGTTGTCAGTGTGAAAATAACGAACACGTTCATTTTCAGTGGTACAGGAGTAGCAGATACTGGTACACGAGCCTAGAGTGAAAATAATCGAGTGAAATTATATATCTTAATATATAGGTCGCACCTGAGTATAAGTCGCAAACTCGGCCAAAGGATGATTTAAAAAAAAAAAGTGCGACTTATAGTCCAGGAAATACGGTAACTGGAAATCAGAAGACTTTTGGAAAGTGGAAAAGCTTTGCTCGCTTTCTGTTCAGCTGTACGTTAAATATGTAGAAGGTTTTACTATGTTTCCCTTTATTATATCTATTTCATATGTTGTTTAGCATGATGACAATATCAGCTCGAAGACTTTTTTTTTTTTTAGTTAAACCAGAAACATTTGTTTCCATTTGGATTGAAATATTTTTTCTGTTACGGAGAAGAAAATAAAACTGGCTCTCAGCGTTTTTCTGCTCGGTGGCCTCACTCTGGTTCGGTTTGAGCTCGCACCTGCATGTTGCCCTATTTCCCATAGAGCTGTGTCACCTATATAACACTGCCCATTGGTTCGTTGTATATTTATTAATACCCAACCTAATATAGTTCTGGTTATCCATAAATACACCAAGTAAAATGTTCTTACTGCAGGCGCGTTTCGTATTCCGTGCTGCTTTTACGATGCTTATTTAAAACATCAGTTGAACATATGATGCAACCATACATTTCTTTCTGAAATACTCCAGTTCTTTAGGCAACACCAAAACACTTGGCCTTTTCAGCACATCAGATAATATTTGCCACCACATCAACTAGCGCAATCTTTAGCTTCTATCTTTTTTATATATATTTTTTTTTTTTTTATTGTGTAACTTTGTTTAAAAAATGATTCCAATTGTATTTTAATACAGATTCTGTTTTTTTTTTTTTTTTTTTTTTTTTTTTTTTTTTTTTTACAACTATAAAATAATATTTTAATAAATTCTATTAAATATCGCAAACATTCTCTTAACCTTGTACGGTCTGAAAGGACTCGGATGAATTTTCAAAATTTTTCCTAATAAAAGGCTCGTGTCTTAAGCATTTTCACTACGAGCTGTAGACTATTTATCATTTATGGACTAGAACCCTCCGGATGTATGCGTTATACAGCCACAGGAGAGAGTAAACTGTTGTGCTTTTCTATCTAGAATTGATGTTTTATCTCATTTTTAAAAATATATTACTGCAAAAATATCTTGTATCTGATTTTTTTTTTTTTTTTTTTTTCCTCTTCTACATTGTCTACAGTGATACAGATCGTGACAGAAGAACTCCGTCTCCAGACGTCATCATCCTTTCAGACAATGAGGCCTCCAGTCCTAGAACAACACCTCGCCCCGACGAACGTGTGCATCAGGCCAACCTGGATATGTTCAAGGTAAAACCATCAACAGCTTTCAGGCAAACTGAAGAAACAGGCTTTATTTTATGAATTAAAAAGACAGTAGACTGCGTACAACAACGAACCAAATTTTTTTAAAAAAATGAAACAAATATTTAGTCTCGTACCTTATGTGGTTCCGATGTTTTTTCTGCGTCTGTTTAGTGAAGCCTTATTACAAACATTCTATCGGTGTCATAGGCTTTTGTTGACAAGAATTGGCAATTAAATTATGCAAAGCCAATATTTGGACTGTTGTCCCTCCCTTTTAAGACTGACATTCACCCTGCTATGTTGTCAAAAAGCCCACATGGTATGATGGTAAGAGCTTCTTGCTTTTTAGTAAAAAAAAAAATCACTAGTTTGCCAGTGTAATCATTGGTCTGTCTGTCTGTCTGTCTGGAGTTTGCATGTCCTCCCTGCGTTTGCTACAATTTCCGGATTGTACTCCAGTTTTCTCACTGTCTGGGGAAAAAAAAAACATGCAGATTGGTAGTCTGGGTAATGGGATACTCTAATGCAGGGCTGTCAAACATATGGCCCGCGGGCCAAAACCGACCTTCTAGGGCAGGGGTCACTAACCTTTTTGAAACTAAAAGCTACTTCAGGTCTTGAACAATGTAACAATACAATAGGGAACAATGTAATAATAATCAGTTCTGGTCATACAATAGTAGACACTTCTTATCATCGTCACTGAACCCATTTGAATATCATTGCAAGTGTAATTGATTCAAAAAGCACGTAACAGTAACGGTAACAATTTCTGACCCTCTTGTTGACTGGTTTTATTTGTAGAATAAACCGCCACGATGGTGACCCCTGTTGGTTCAATTTGACCCGCTCGATGAATTTTGAAAGAAAAAAAAAAAAAAAGCATAATAGACAATAGCTAAATGCTATTCCAAAATAATCAGCTAGGGGGCACTCTAGAGTTAGTCAGACGAGAGGGGCACACTGTTTTAATCAGAGTAGAAGAAGAGGCTCAGCTCAGCAGATGGTAGCAATGCACCTTCGGCTAATGCTACAGTGTAGGCTACCTTAATTTTCTACTCACCTTCTCGCCCCTCATTGGCCGAGAGAAATGGACAGTCGACATCCGCCATGAAATAATTAATTTGCTATGTGGTGCGGTAAAACTTTAAAATGAATTGCAATTATGCTAATCCTTTATTACGTTCAGCAGTGTATATATACTGTACAGTAAACCCTTGTTTTTCGCGGGGGTTACGTTCCAAAAAGAACCCGTGATAGGCAAAATCCGTGAAGTAGAAATCTTTATTTTTTTTTACAATTAAATACTCAGAAAAAGAAGAGAAAGAACGAACAAACCATTTTACAGTCTCAACCATTTGTTTCACAAACGAACGGAAGATTCATTAATTCCATAATGCCGACCTACAGCCGCATAGCTTTTACCTTCATTTAGCATGTCCAATAGTTTTACTTTATCACCGATAGACAGCATCTTCCGCTGCCTTTTGGTCCCTACCGCAGGTACTTTTGCCGGTCCGGAGCGTTTTGTCGACATTATGGGGGTTTGATAAACTCGAAATTGCAAGAGAATTTGCACGTACGTAATGTCAATTTGGCAAGCTGTTTTACGTACGTGTACGTATTAAACCGCAACGTTATTGGCGCACAGGTAGAGAAGAAGCGGAGTGACTTTTTAGCCAATCAGAATGCAGAACACAAAGCCCGATGCAAATCCGTGAAGTAGCGAAACCGTGAAAAGTAAACCGCGTTATAGCAAGGGATCACCGTATATTGGTATTGTACATACTTAGCGGGGCTATTTGTTAAGATACTTCAAAGGTACTACCTTTTGGTTGTACGCACAATAAATCTTTTGGGTATAATTGTATAATTTCACTAATAAGATAAAAAGTTCATAAAAAACAAATTTGACTGACTTTGTTCGTGTCCAAATATGCAAAGATATATGTGTGAATCTACCGTATATATCTCAAGTGAACGTTTTAGTTGCATCATATTTCGATTCGCGCTGACGCTGCACATCACGACTGTTTGAACTTAACCCTGCGATCGACGATAAGTTGTCAGAAGCCGGCCCGTGTGGCTGATTTTTTTTTGAAGCTCGCCGACTGGTTGTTTCAGGGGAAGGGAGAGACAGCAGATGATCAAGGCTCTGAGAGAGGAGCTGCGTCTGGAGGAAGCTCGCCTGGTGCTGCTCAAGAAGCTCAGACAGAGTCAGATGCAGAAGGAGAACGTGGTGCAAAAGGTCAGTGCTGCGGAACCCCTCGCAGATCCACAAAAAAACAAGATGAGGGAATAATCTTGTTTAAACAAAGTCAACACGTTCAGTTTTGAAATCCTCTGCTACTGCTTCGGGTAAGGCACTGTGTCAAAATGTTATAACGTCTGCCATCTTTGAGGTCGCCACTAGGTGGCCAGGATTTCACTTTAGGGCAAGGGTGTCAAACTCAAAATTCATTTAGGAATTGCTCGATCCGATACTCGGGATCAGTACTAGTTTGATATCGGGCAAAATTTCAGAATCGAACATCGTTTAAAAACAACTCTAGCCCGTCCGATCGGATACCTACGGTAAGGCCCAAATGCTTAACTTAGCTTTCCGCGACATGCTATAAACAGCGATATTATCGCCTCAGCGGCGGCAGCCCACGGCACGATGGAGGAAAAAAAAAGAAAACCAGAATTGGATATCAGATCGATTTCGGCCCATCGTATCTGTATCGGCCCATCGCTAGTATTTTAGGGAATACTCATTCCTACCCCTGGTTGTATATTTGCCCCTGTTAGAGCAGTGCCTCACACAAAATATGTAATAGTAACGGTAACGAAGGAGACGCAAATGGACGTACGCCACGACATTGACGAGAAGTTTATGAACGCAATCAAGTCCTGCTCACACGCGGGTCAGAAGTGAGGCTCGAGCCAGCAGCTCCGATCGGCGCGTTATTCTCGGCTTCCCCCTTTCCCTCAGTGATGGAAGGCTAACAATAACAAACAACTCCGCATGATGCAACACGGACAAACGTCAGTGCCAAACTGCAGCCGTTGAGCTGAGTTGAATCAGTCCCTCTGATACACTTTTAACTAGAAACAACCAGAGTGGAGGAACGACTGCTTGGTTAGGCTAATGCAGTTCAATATTATGCGGTTCAATTAACAGTCAAGTGAGAATGCGGAATCAGGTTTCAACGGGCCGACAAGGTCTGATTTTGAGATCGTACGATCCCATGTCGATTATTAAAAAGATCTTAGGTCCCAAATTTCAGCACTGTGCCGTTTACATTTTTTTTTAACATTTGTGTGCCGTTTTTAAATGTATCGTCGTGTTGCCGACTACCTGCAGGTTCCAGTGGTCCAGAACTCGTCGAGCTCCGTTCAGCCTCCAACCATCCACAGCTCCTCTAACCTAGCGAAGCTGCCCATTAGGCCTGGTCTTCACAACCAAGAGCCTCAGAATCTCCGCACTGGACAGGTTTGTGTTTTTTTTTTTTTTTTTTTTTTTTAATACATATCGGAAGACAAACTTCTCTCTGATTCTCTATAACAATACTGCGGAAGACAAACTTCTCTCTGATTCTCTGTAACAATACTGGAATTTTTTCGTTTATTTTTATTTTTTTTTAAAAAACAACTGTAGCCTGTACACAGTGTCTCGACCTAAACTAGAACACATTTTTTAAACAAGAGTAAAAAAAAAAAAAAATCCTTCAAGTTCAATTACAGGCTGTTTAAAATTTTAGTCTAATTGTGTGTAATTAACGTGCCGCATTTTTTTTTTCTCGATACGTGATTTTCTGCTTCTATTTTAGCCCGCGTTGTGTATCATTATAATATATCTGCTCTACAACAGGCCAGCAGGCTGTGTTCTTCTTCTTCTTCTGATTGGGCCTGACTCTACGTTGTAAACAAAGCCAATCTGCCAGAATCCTTAGCCTCATATTTAGTCAAATTTTTATTTTTTATTTTTAAGTTTTTGTTATGGCGACATGTTGTGCCGTCATTTTGTAGTTCCTCAATCAATGTGAGTTTTTTTTTTTTGTCGAGATTCAATATGGAGGCAGATTAGTGGTAGGATAGGGATTAACAGTGGGCATATGTTTGTAGGTACCAGGCTTGCTTTGTTGCCTCTAGGAAGCTGCTGCCCCCTGCTGGCCAATGAACGAATGAGCAGTGACAAGTTCTTTTTTTTTTTTTTTTTTTTTTTTTTTTTTTTTTTTTTACATGTACATATGAATGCTTAAAATTTGGTTTAAATTAATAATGTCTTCTGCGAGTGATTTATGTGTGCGATATCGTAATTTCTGTGAGATTCAGTTCAGTGAGGGAGTGTCCCAATAGCTGAGTAACTGGGTCGCAGTGTGGTACTGGGATATGGGTTAATGGTACTGAGCTGTATGGAATTACAAACATATCACTTCCATTGTATTGATTGTAGGATTGTACTGTTAATGTGTTGTGTTTAAAAAAAAAACTCCCAACATTCAACATGGGCAAACTAAGGCCCGCGGGCCGGATGCAGCCCGTTCTGCTTTTTAATACGGCCCGCCAAAACTTTTCCAAATTATATAATGTATTTATATTATCATTATACTTCTGCCTTTTCCCTGCATTACCCACATTTCCCCAATAGATGGCAGAGATGGTAGAAAAGGATTGATACGTTTTCCACTGCTGTAACGCTTAAATGATAACAAGCCTCGAGTCACTAGGTGGCAGCAATTCATACAGTGGTTTGTACAGATAAAAATATACATGTTACCAGGTTCTCAAATCGGGGGGGAAATATACATGTTACCAGGTTCTCAATAGGTTCTTCAAATCGGGGGCATTTCAGAAAGTAATAGAGAACCACTGCGTTAAGTAATGACGAAGACCATGTAAAAGTAAGTAAACTGTTACTAACTTTTTTTTTTTTTTTTTCCCTTTTCTCTTATTCCAGGGTCATACAGTCATCAGGTCTGGAGCCAATGCCAATTTGCCACCAATGCTTATGTCACAGCGAGTGATCGCCCCCAACCCTGCTCAGCTGCAAGGTCAGAGGATCTCCTCCAAACCGACGATGTCTCGCTCCAGCTCAGGCAGCATAGCAAATGCTGTTAGCTACCAGCAGGTAGGGACACATTTTAGCCTAGTCGTTTGGAAAGGTCCACTGTTTTCAATAAAGGGGTACTTGCTCATGTGTACATTATGTATGTATGTATGTATGTATGTATGTATGTATGTATGTATGTATGTATGTATGTATGTAAACTGCTGCTGTTCGTTTATCCGATGGTTTTACAGCACAGCGCAATTAACACCTGTTAAAGAATCTTAGAAAAAAATAATGCGGTTCTCGTGGCAGGTTTTTTCCACTCGGTTGTCACTAATTGGTGCATTTGATTGTCCTCGTGAGACAGCAGCATGCCTTCCAAAAAAAAACTTCAGCCCACCAGCTAAGTTCTAGCATGCTGGAATCCTGATTGCCACCCTTAAATAAAGATAAAGCTCAGAATGAGTTCTTTGAACTTTTACAGCGTCTAAATGCAACCACTCCGCCAGATAGGCCGCATTCTGAGAGCTCCCGTTACGTTCAGTGCTGCCGTACGGAACAAAAAGGTCATCGTCAAGGTGTCGTCCAATAAGAGTTGACATCTCTTAATTTGCTTTTTTTTTTTTTTTTTCTCTTAATAATAAACACAACAATCTGCCTCTGCAGGCCAGCCAACAGGTGACCGCATCCCAGCGCTCAGGCTCCAGTGCCATGTACATGAACCTGGCTCACATGCAGGCGGCGGCGGCCGGGGCCAGTGGAGTAGGCGGAGGTCTCGGCGGAGCTTCGGCCGTCAGTCCGTCCACCATTTCTGCTTCGGCCAGCGGAGCGGTCAGCTCAATGGCCGACCAGGCTAGCAGCCAGGCGGCAGCCAAGCTGGCCCTTAGGAAACAGCTGGAAAAAACTCTCCTGGAGATCCCTCCGCCCAAACCTCCGGCGCCACTTCTCCACTTCCTGCCCTCCGCGGCCAACAGTGAGTTCATCTACATGGTGGGCCTGGAGGAGGTGGTGCAGAGCGTGCTGGACAGTCAGGGTGAGCGGTCGCGCACGAAACGCAACGCGCACGATGCACATTTTTTCGTTTGTCTGCGCGTCCTGTCTGGCTGACTTGCTGTCACCTCCGCAGGTAAACTCAGAGGCTCGCTGCCTCGCATGGAGCCCTTTTTCTGTGCCCAGTGCCGGACTGATTTCACCCCTCATTGGAAGCAAGAAAAGAGCGGGAGGATCCTGTGCGAGCAGTGCATGACAGCGAATCAGAAGAAGGCACTGAAGGCGGAGCACACCAACAGGCTGAAGAACGCCTTCGTTAAGGCCCTGCAGCAGGAGCAGGTGAGCAGCGCACCACCGACGCCTTATGTCCAGTCATGTAGAGTCAGGCGCCCTCTCCGATTCCTTTGATGTTCCTCGATAGTAGTCGAGATGGCAGTCATTCAAGACGTTCCACAAAGGGGTCCTCGACGTCTTAGGGCGCAGCCTAACTCAATCTTCGCTGGAACTCACATACTGTACATAAGTACCTATGTCGCTCACCTATGCTAACATCTGTGGTATCTGTGGTAACATCATGATCTAAGACAGACGTGAGCAAACTTTTTGGACTCACGGGCCACAATTCTCCTAAAATCGAACGGGGGGGGGGCGGGTCAGGAGCAGAGAGATGGAGCGTTCGTGTGAACTAAGATAAATGACATAAAAGTCATATATATAAAGGCTAAAATGCTAATATGCTTTTATCATTTTCCACGCCATCTATTGGGGGAAACGTGGCTATTGCAGGGTAAAGGCAGAAGTATAAATGATCATTTGAATCAATTATATAATTTGGAAAAGTTTGACGGGCCGGATTATAAAGCTGAATGGGCCGCATCCGGCCCCCGGGCCTTAGTTTGCTCATGCCTGATCAAGGAGATAAAAACGTCAAAACAAAAGAAAACGAATTAGAGCGAGTGTAGCACAATCCAACGTATGGCGTACAACCCTCAAATAGCATCGCGCGACGACGTATTGTTTGTTCCAATCCCCAGCTGTCGGGATGATGAAATAAGACTTTATAAATTTATGGGAAATGGCGACGTAATCACAAAACTCTTAAGTCGAGGACGCCGTAAACCGAGGACCCCCTGTATTGCTACATCTGCTTCATTATATTCACATTAATGTTTTTCATTTTTCGTATTATTAACACTAAAAAGCCAAGAAGCTCAGGGTCATTTTTTTTGTTGTTCGGCGCCTCAGTAGAGACTAGCTTGTATCATTAAAGGTCAGAAATTTAAATTTAATCCGTAACCACTGCTTGGCCCTCCAACCGCCAAAGGTAAAAACTGACTCTTCACGTGTCTGGAATGTTAAAAATCTGTCTGTGTGTGTGTGTGTAATCAGGAGATTGAACAGAGGCTTCAACAGCAGGCGGCGCTCTCCACCAGCTCGGTCCCAACTGGACCCAACGCCTCCAAGACTGACTCCATGATTCGGCATCATGCCCTCCGTCAGGTAGGCAGGGTAAACAGGCGCACATATTTTCTACTTCGAATAATCGTCATCATTGTTATTTATTATGGTAGCGCATTTTCATTTGGTGAATTGTGGTGAAAAGTAGAAAAAAAAAATAAAATAAAATTGTGATGTAAGCCAGTTTAGCTCATACGTCATACGTCTCTTGCCCACTCCAGGCTCCCCAGCCGCAGGCCTCCCTTCAGCGAGGGCTATCCAGCTCGGCGAGGGGCGTCCTGTCAAACTTCACTCAGGCCTCGCAGCTATCGGTGGCTAGCAGCCTCATGGGAATGACTAATGCCAAGTACTGTGGCAGCAGTGGAGGTGGCAGCAGTAGCAGTAGCAGCAACAGACTGCAGCACGACAGCCGTCGCCAAATCTACAACATCCCAGGTATTCACCGTTTACCAACTAATGTCGCGTCGTTACGTACACGTTTCTAGCCACGCTCGTCATCGGGATCATCTCAGATGATTCAGCGTCTCAGGTTCTGAGTCAAATTCAGGACCTGACTCACTGTTTCCAGCTCAATGATTCAGGCTGAAATGCATAAACTTAAGCTTGGTGTTGAAGCTCAGCCGGTAATGTTTATTTCAATGGGATGAAAAGCTAGTGTTGGTCCAAATCAAAACCATATATATATATATAAATATATATATATATATACACATATATATTTATGTGTATATGGACATATGTGTACATATATGTATGTGTATATGTATGTGTGTGTATATATATATATATATATACACATATATATTTATGTGTATATGGACATATGTGTACATATATGTGCATATGTACATATGTGTATATGTACGTATGTGTGCGTATATGTGTACATATGTGTGTATATGTATATGTGTGTATATGTACATATGTGTGCGTATATGTGTACATATGTGTACATATATGTGTACATATGTATACATATATGTGTACATGCGTACATGTGTATATATATGTGAATATGTACATGTGTACATCCATGTGTACATATGTGTATGTGTACATATGTGTACATATATGTGTATATGTACATATGTGTGCGTATATGTGTACATATGTGTATATGTACGTACTGTATGTGTACATATATGTGTACATATGTATACATATATGTGTACATGTGTACATGTGTATATATATGTGAATATGTACATGTGTACATACATGTGTACATATGTGTACATATATGTATGTGTATATGTATGTATGTATGTATACATGTATATGTATGTATGCATACAGTAATACCTTGAGATACGAGCGTCCCGTCATGCGAATATACCGACATACGAGCAAGCTTTTGAGCACATTTTTTGCTTTGAGATACGGGTAAAGATTTGAGACATGCCGACACTAGGTGTCTGAGCACTCGGAGCAGCCCATTCACTTGTTCGTCCAGTTCCGTACGCATCTCCTGCGAGTCTTCCGTATTGTGTCTGCGTTATCTACGTGATTTTCTCTCTATTTTGTGCATTACTCTTCATACTAGTGATGAGTCCTAAGAAAGTGAGTGGTAAGGATGGTAGTGAGAAGAAGAAACGCATGATGACCATGGAAATAAAGCATGAAATTGTCCATAAATCTGAGCGTGCTGCCTGCGTGAGTGATCTAGCACGCAGTACATCTGCGATATGTACCGTCCTAAGGCAGAAGGATGCTATCGATAACGTAAATCCTTCCAAGGACGATTATATCGAAGTCACGTTCGAATATAAATGATGAGATGGAGAGGCTTCTGTGTAAAAAAAAAAAATGATTTGAGAAGCGAGCACGTCACGTTACGAGCTCGGTCCTGGAACGGATTGTGCCCATATCTCAAGGTGTTACTGTATACGTAAAATGATTATATTACTTAAAACTAGGGATGTCCGATATGAACTTTTTGCTGATATCCGATAATGCCGATATTGTCCAAACACTTAATATCCGATTCCGATGTCAACCAATATATGCAGCCGTTTGTGTTAAAGGGAGAGGACTAATATTGTGGACTAATATCGTTGTTTGACATCAAATGTAATTTAGACAAATGGAAAATTTCAGTGCTGGTGCTACTGGATCTAAGTGCGGCCTTTGATAGAGTTGGCCTCGGAGGCACAGTGTTAGACTGGTTCAAATCGTACCTCAATAATTTGAACGTCAATTTTAGGTCCAATTCTTTTCAGTCTCTATGCCAACAACTGTATTTTAGATATAAAATCACGGATGGCAGAGAATTTCCTACAGCTCAAACGGGACAAAACAGAAGTCTTAATTATTGGTTATAGGCTAAGAGGAAAAAAAAAAACTCTTTTAAGCCTTGGGCCCCTCTTATTTGTCAGATCTGATTTTGCGTGACCAACCGTCGCGGACCCTGAGGTGCTCCACCTCTAGCGTCCTAATCATTCCGAACGTAAGATCAGAACCCCACGGTGAGGCATCTTTCTATTACTACGGCCCCACGCCTGTTATTTTCGCACTTAGCTAGCTTACTTGCATTAGCTTTGACAACGATAACTTACCTTAATAATCTTATCTTATTGCTTTGTCCCGCCACGTTTCTACTTTCTAGCTCCAGTGTTTTCCTCTCCTCTCGCGCAGCCCTCCGCGCCGGGAGTCGGGCCGCGGATGCCCGGTGGGCGTCGCCCCGGGGGCTGCCCTGCGTGGGCCGGGCGAGGGCCGCATGGTGCCATGTTGGCCACGGTGTCGGCTTCTCGCTTCTGTCCTGGTCGGGCTAGTCCTTGGGGCGGCGTCCCCTGTGGGTGCTGTCGGCAGGACGTCCTGGCGTGGATGGTTCCCCGATAAAGCTTTCCTCACTTGGTTCCTCAGTGCCTAGCCTTGTTGGGTCTTTTTATCTTTTAAAAACTGTCACTTCGGGAATTTGTCTTGCAACTGCCCGCCTGCCCATCTTGGGTGTCTTTCAAGCTTGGTTTATTCCCCGTTTTTTTTTTTTGTTTGTTTGTTTTTGTTTTTGTTTTTGTTTTTACACCCCATTAGGGTTTTCTTGGGAGTTGTTCCTCAGCCGATGCAAGGGTCTTTAAGGGCAGGGGGTGTCTACCATTGATATATATTATTGTTATAAACTGTTCGGCACATTGAGTTTGCTTTGTGCATGAAATGTGCTCTAGAAAATAAATTGATTGATTGATTGATTGAAGCGCTACGCTGCGCATCAGTGACAATAATTCACTTTCCTAATTAGCCATTTTACCCCCAAAACTATTTTTAGCAGGGATGTCTGATAATATCGCAGACTGATATTATCGGCCCCCATTAGCATAATTATGTAATATCTGTCGGACTGGTGTTAAATGACCTTTGCCCTAAAAATAATTTTTGGGAATAAACGCTACATGCGAAAGTGGAAGTCACTAGATGGCAGCATTGTGGCTCAATTCATGAATCTATTTGAATAATCATGGGATTGTATATGCAGTATACCGCTGCTAGCAACACATACAGTGGTTTGTACAGATAAATAAATATTACCAGTCATTATATAGGTGTTGGTTGATATCGGAATTGGAAATTGACAATATCGGATAATACGTTTTAGGTGATGCATCATTTGGCGAAGCCCAGGCATTGTTATTACAGTCTTACCGATATTGCACAGTTATGCTAAATATGCCTAACGTGCCGATAATATAGGTCAGCCGATACTATCGGACATCCCTACTTAAAACTACTAACTTTTTTTGTTGATTAATTACAGGGTAGCTGCGGGAAAAGAAATGAATTCATTTAAAATGCGTTATCGGGTTTTCATTATCGAGGAAAACCGATAACGAATCTTACAGATATTTCATAATTATGCTAATATCGGGGGCCGATAATAACAGTCGGACGATATTATTGAGCGTCCCTGTTGAAAACTGAAACTTTTTTTTTACTTGATTAATCACACGGTAGCTGTGGATTAATCACGATTAATTCATATTAATTGAATTAATCGTGATGACCATATAGGTGATGGTTGATATCGGAATTGGAAATTGACAATATCGGATAATAAGTTTTAGGTGATGCATCATTTGGCGAAGCCCAGGCATTGTTATTACAGTCTTACCGATATTGCACAGTTATGCTAAATATGCCGACTAAACGTGCCGATAATATAGGTCAGCCGATACTATCGGACATCCGTACTTAAAACTACTAACTTTTTTCGTTGATTAATTACAGGGTAGCTGCGGGAAAAGAAATGAATTCATTTAAAATGCGTTATCGGGTTTTCATGATCGAGGAAAACCGATAACGAATCTTACAGATATTTCATAATTATGCTAATATCGGGGCCGATAATAACAGTCGGACGATATTATTGAGCGTCCCTATTGAAAACTGAAACTTTCGGATGCAGTTGGTTTTTACTTGTTCCATTGAAATTGCAGTATCCAGTGTTCGTTCGTTTCGAGGAAAACCGCTAACGTTTCTTACACGCATTACATAACTATGCTAGGTATCGAGCCGATAATATCGGGCATCCCTAATCGCTGTGAAGTGAAGTTGGTGTTTGTTTTTTTTTTTTTTTTTTTTTTTTTCTTCTTTTAAAGCAAATGCAAATGCTCAGTTTAAATGTAACCTGTCGTTTCCTTTGTTTCTCCAAAGGGTTAAATATTGCGTATCTGAACCCAGCGGCGGTGGGAGCTCACAAGAGCAGCAGCTTAGCAGACCGGCAGAGAGAGTACCTGTTGGACATGATCCCACCTCGATCCATATCCGCAGTGCCTGTCCGTGTGCCTACCTTAAACCGACCCATTACAACCCGACGAAGTTTCCTAGACACTAAATTGTCAGTGCGTCGCAGATGTTCCTAAACGATAGTAAAAACTCTTCTTCTTTGTCAGTGTTGTTTAACGATTATAATTCTCATTATTGTCGCTGTTGATAGCCCTATAATTACGATTTCCTGCTTCGGTTATTATTACTCATTACGCTTTTATCTATTTTTTTTTTTTTTTTCATTTTTTTTTTGAAGTTCCTCTTCGCTCACTCCTATGTCGGACAAGTGACGGTCCCAGTTTTATAACTTTAGGTGTGACTATCGCTTGTACCGGATCAACAGGCCGCACAGTCTGAATTGATATGCAATATAAAGTTGCTCACTTGAAGTGACAAACGTCACAGAGATAAGAACAAAGACGCAGGCAAAAAAAAAAAAAAAAAAGGGGGGGTTAGACGGTGACCTTGCCGGGCTCTTGAAAAGAGCGTTCTCTAGATGTAAAGAAGAACGTTCGACCACATCACACCCTCACAAACACGCGCCTCATCCTCCCCCGTTTCCTACGCTGACCTGCAACTCGGAGTTTCGGAGCGGCGTCACAGCCGGTGGACTGGGGGGAAAAAAAAAAAAAAAAAAAAAATTGACGAGAGGTGCGCATGCGTTCAAAAGAGAATCAAGTGTGAACAGGGTTTTTTTCCGTTTTTTTTTTTTTTTTTTCGTTTTTTTTTCCCCCCACATCTCTTCTCCGACTCCGACGCCTGACTCTCCGGTCACATGCGTAAACAGTTACCGAACAGATGTTAGATGGGATTCACTACTATGGCTGTTGATAGTGGACACACAGACGCAGCATCAGAGGAGCAGCGGCGCCCGCTCGAGGCCCCCCCCCGCCCCCCCACCCCAGTGTGAAGGAACAGACTGGCAGATGGAGGACGCCCTCGTCGCGTTGGTCTTCGCTCGAAGACCAACAAATTGACGTGCCCCTCCCCGGGTTCCATTCATCACGACCTCCGCCCACCCCCTCCACCCCGTCCCCCAGTTTACCTTGATAAAACACTCAAATCTGATAGCGGATGCACGCATGTGTGACCGACTCTCTGATTATGTATGTAAAATCCTCCCAATCTGGATTATTCTGTTTGGGCTTTTAGATTATTTTTGGATTTTACCGCTCCCCACTTCCTGTGTTCTATATTGTATTATGTATTCCTCCTAATTTTTTTTTTTTTTTTTTTTTTTGCAGCGTCTCCTTATTAAATTGGCGGCGTACCTGAGAGGTGTCGGCCCCTGGAGACGATAATAATCATCATAGCTAAAACAGAAACTATTGAAATATCTGTATGGATTATGTATAGATACCTAGCTTCAGAATTAGGAAAAAAAAAAAAAAAAAAGGATGTGAATTATATCTTTTATGGGAGAGACATGGATCAATCATTGTGTGCACTCTGTGTACACAGGTTCCCTCACTCCAGAGGAGCACTTTGCATATTTGAATTTGGAAAACTTAAAAAAAAAAAAACTTTAAAAATGAAAGAAAAAAAAAAAAAAAAAACATAAATGGGAATGTTTGGGTTGAGAGTGGCTGAGGTGGGGCGGCTGCCTGCAGACCAACCCCCAGTAAAGGAGACAGGACATCAGGGTGTCTTCTGATGGCTGATGAAACGTTTCATCCTCTTGCTTTTTTTTTTTTTTTTTTTTTTTTTTTGTTCATTGCTGCAGATTTTTCGGGCTGTTCCGGTGATGCCTAAAAACAACACGTTACAGATCAGTGATTCCCAACCTCTTTGAGTAATGAAAAATAACGATCGCCTAGTTTCAGTATACTCAGAATTTATGTACGCGGTGCGAAACCTGGGCGTGTTCGGTTGAACACAACGCTCATGTGATCAGGAATTGAAGAAAGAGACAAGAAGATCTTCAACAGCTATAATTGTTTTTTTGGGTTTTTTTTTTTTTTTTTTTTTTTTTTTTTTTAAGTTTTATAGCCATCTTCTGCAATTCACATAGACGAATGAAGAAAATTATTTCCGATAATTTTTTTGCGACCTCACATTGGTTGGGAATCTCTGTTCTGTATGCGTTATGGGCGTAATGGGTGCCTGGCCTTGGTGTTTGGTTTGAAACCTTCTTGGGAGTGGAGACCAGTTTGTCTACTTTCCACAAAAACCTAATTGGTAAAAATGAGTTTTTTTTTGGGAGAGAAAAAAAAAAAAAGGTGCATTACCTACAATTTGTCCCTGCGAACTGCACGGAAACGCATCGAAACAAGGTTCTACACCTCAACGGAAGAGTGAAGCCCATTAATTCAACTCCATCGTCATACGTCTGTCATTCTGAGCATAACAAATGAGCATTTCCTCAGAGGTTTCCCCATGTAGCATAAACAACATTGTCCTACTTGTCCTGCTTTTTACCCCTGCGTGTGTATTGTACTAACGGCACGACAGTCATGGGGGAACTCCCTCGGCTGCTAATGCCTGACACGGGTTTACAAATTAAATAGCTAACTCTTCTTCTACGGTCACAAGTCACAATATTAGTCTCCTCGTATAAGCACTTCACCTAAAAAAAAAAAAGCTGCTATGCTAAGTAAGGTCACATACCGAACCCGGTGATGCTAACTGTTTGAACTGAGCTAAAAGTGCAAATCAATTCTTACGTTTGAACAAAAACAGCACTTCACGCTAACCACAGCGGTGTTCATTTGTACTTCCTAAATTAACTCAACGAAGTGGCTAAGATATCTTACGGCTTATCTAAAGGTTGGATTCCGATAAAGAATTGTCCCTGCTAGCATCAGCTATCGGAATCATCGCCCTTGTGACATCTGCGTCCTCTACCACCCAGGGTCCTAAATCCACCAGCCCACACCAGAAATGTTCGTCACATGCAGTCTGCAGTTAGCAGGAGAACCAGTCACTTAATGGCTAATGTTTAAGGTTAGCAGCATGGCTAAATTAGCCAATAGTGTGTACGTGCAAGGGGGAATAAAGGTCCGGTTCCCCGATGAAGGCATACATTTATTTTGCAACCTAATTTTAAATGTCATTTGACATTAATGTTTCGATGATGTTTAAAAATTTCTTTTTTTTTTTAACGTTAAAAACGTGTGTGGGGGGAAAAAAACGTTTAATAAATACAACCGATACTGTTAATGTGACTGTTGTCGCAGTACATTTATGTTGCACTGAGAAGTTTAAAAAAAAAAAGTCTCATTTCAGGGTTCAAAACCCGCTTAAGTTTCCTCACGCTGACTTGTAAAGTTAGCACATGATTGTGCAAAGGGGGGGCGCTAAGAGCAGCGTCGTCGTGTTCTACCACGTCAGGGTTTGCGCTTCTTCACCCCTCCGCTCCTTCTGCAGAAACTGGACTAAACTGAGTGTATTGCAGTTCCTGTGTCGCAGTACTCCGACAGGTTTTTTTTTTTTCATCCAACTTTTCTACCTTACGTTAAACACCGAACCTCTCCGTTTTTCCTCTTCTCTTCGCTGCTTTTCTGTCCATCAGCCAAAGTGGATACGTACTGTATGTTTGTTTGCTGCGAACAGTGTTGCAGCCGAATCTCCGACAGGTTTCTTTTAAAAAAAAAGAAAAAAAAAAAAATGAGATCCCAGCTCTGCTCTTCCTCCACTCACTATCACTGAGGTCAAACCTGTTGTTAAGCCGCAGGTCGATCACATCCTGGTCATTCATTTTCATCTGCACAGTGATTGGCTGGTCCGCTCGTGGGTTGGTTGTTGTGTTTTTTTTTTTTTTTTTTTTTTTTTTTTTTTTTGTTGCTTCTTTGTTTATTCCTGCCTGTCCACATGTTGTTCTGTTATAATGACTAACAGCCAAGTAAAAAAATGGACAGAACTGTTCATGCGCAACATGGGTCAGGTTACAGGTTAGCGACCCGTCGCAGAATCTGTCGCCCCATTCAAACGAATGATCATCACGTTTTTTTTTTTTTTGGGCGGGGGAGGGTGGGTTTGTCCATGTGTTTGCATCTCTTTTTCTGTAGTCGAAGGAAAAAAACAAAACAAAACAAAAAAAAACTCCTGTCTCTCCCGCCACTTTTGCAGAAGCATCCTCTGACCTTTGTATTTGGACTGCGGATTCTTTTCAGACATAAATTTTTTTTAGATTTCAAAAGTCATTCTTTCCCTCCCCCACACCCCCCGGTGTCTCAGATGAGTTCACGTTACTTTTTATTGCAGTAAAAAAAAAGTAAAAAAAAAAAAAAAAAAGACAGAAAAAAAAAACAACAACAAATGTATTGACTATGAAATAAATGACACGATATTTGCTAGGTTTGAAGTAATAATGACTTATTGTACATAAGCATTTTTCCTCCCTTGTACTGAAAGAAGAAATTAAATGGTTGTATATTGTGTAGAAAAACAAACAAAAAGCCATGAATATTGTGAAGCTTGTCATTTCGTTTTGTGATCACTGTGTATTATTGTGTAAATGTTTGGGTTTTTTTTTTTTTTTTTTTTTTTTTTTTGTTTTTTTTTTTCCTCCTCACTTTTCTGGGCTCGTTAAGGCATCGCGTTTGCTTTGGGGTTTTTTTGGAAGACGGTTGAGTTGTGGGAAAGTGCTGATTGGTTTAAACGGACTCTTCGTACTACCCTCGTTTACAGCACTGAGTGTGCTGTTCTTAATTGAATGAATTCCTCCTTTCCTCGGACAGTGAGTGCGTCGTGCTGTTCTTAATTGAATGAATTCCTCCCGTCGGACAGTGAGTGCGTCACCGCTCGGCGCTGCAGCGCAGTTCACCTCGCGGAGTGACGTTTGACCTGTTTAAGGCCGATCCGGTTCGCAGACCGATATCGTATTTACTGCCGAGCACTGACGTCCCACTTCACTTGCTGACTCAGCAGAAGTGTGAGGAATATTCCTCTGTTTTTAACTAAACTCTACCTGGTGTCGAAAACGGACTTCAGTTCTTATTTTTTTTTTCCTGTCTTTCTTTCTCGGACGATATTGTTTGACATATTTCCTTAGTTGTCAAGACGAAGATAGAAGTGTCCATGCATGTTTTTACAACCTCCAAACACAACATTTACAACACGGGTCTCAAACCCGTGGTCCGGGGGCCACTTTTGGCCCAGTAAACCACCACATTTGGCCCATTTTTAGATGTTAACTTATTTTGCCCTAAAGATAAATTATTTTTTTTCCCCCCAATGGTTTCATTTGTTCGTTCATAAAAATGCTTTAGAGTCATTGTAGGGATAACGGCGCCATTTTAACAGCGCCCCCTACAGTTTTAGTATGATCTTACACGCCCCCAGTTCAAATCTTTAAAAGTGCACAGAAGTGTGTCTGTTCGCAAAGTTCTTGATGAAGAGCGCCAATTTCTCCCATTATGTCCGCCGCCCCTGAAAGTGCAAAAAAGAACGTGCGGGGAAAGAAAAAAAAAACGTAACGTGTTCACGGTCACTTTATCTTTGTTGTTTTCAGGTTTCTCTGAACGACACCGTATCTCACAGGTCAATGTTTCTTCAAATGAATCTTAGCGAAACCACTGACTTTTTGTAATCCACTCCAGTCGGTCCTCTAAACCACTGACTTTTTGTAATCCACTCCGGTCGGTCCTTAGACTGCCCTTGAGAATCTCAAACTGTCTCCGTAGTAAGTCTTTGGATTCAACAAGCAGCACGACACTTTGACTCAATAGTCGGTTCAGAGCATGGGAAATGTCACGTTACAAAGCGACTGAATGGACGTGGTGACCGATGGTCAGTTGTTAAATTCCCTAATAAATAATCATTTTCTTTGCATCCTTATCTTTTTCTGGTAACCTCGGTCAGTCCTGGGTTTAGATGGAGACTAGAGTTTGGAGCCAATGAGAAGCCGTTTTACTCAATATTCCAACCTGACTGACCTTAAACCACTGATCACTTTTCCTGCCAACGACGACACGTAGCTACGTGTACCGTTGGGCTTTCTCAACATGTTGGTTGATGTTACTCATGCAGGGAAACCTTTAATAGCTGAATCGGTTCGATCAACTTTGGATTTATCTGTAGACGCTTTTGTTTTTTTTGCCCGTTGATGCCAGTGTTGAAATAAACGTCTGGAAAGAAACAGAAGACTAAATTGACCCCAGATTTTTTTTTTGTTTTGTTTTCTTTGCTCACATCAATCCTGACCCTTTTGCACATACTTGATATTTAACGGTCTTCAAAAAAGGAAAAAAAAAAAAAAAAAAAAGGTAAAAAGAAATAAATGCTGTTTGAATACTGCCAGTTGATTGACAATTATGCATTGATTGAAAAATAAGCTAATTTTGGAGGAAATAACTTTGTAATATTTATCTCTTGCAAGCTATGTTTAATAAAGGTTGAAACATTTGCTTCCAAGTGTGACTTCATTCGCCTTTGTGGGACACAGTTCCAACGACTTGACTCGGATTCGACTCTTGACTCTGCAGCGCCCCTAGAGGTTCCAAACGGTATTTACACATCGTGGGTACGTAACCTGTGCGAAAACGCATCTCGACGGACAGACGCGTAGATTTACCGTTTGCCTTGTTACCTTTTCTTTCTGTTAGTATTTCTTTTAAGAACCAGAGATTCCCAACCAATGTGCCAAGGCTACCAACCCTTGGTCCCCGGACCAGTTCCGATCTGTGGGTCATGTGGTGCGGGGTCGCAACAGGAAATACAGGTATTTATTATGTACTTTCTTCGTTTAAAAGTAATATATTTATATTTAAAAGGCAAACACTCTACATTGTCTGATTTTAAAAAATTCACCTAGCCTAAACGTCGATATGGATTTTTTTTTTTTTTACCCAGCTTCCCCCATGACGTCCCGGTGCTCCACCTAGCCAAAGAGAGGGAGAGACTTTACCAGTCAGCGCTACCGCCCGTTAGCGGCCGACCAGTCCTCGCTACAAAAAAAAGGTTGAGTATCGCTGTTTTATGTGACAGTGACAGGCAGAATAATTCAATGCTTTTCCACCAGGTGGCCACAGATGACAAAAAAAAGGGACTTGACTGTTGAAGTGACTTTCTTCAATTCCTGCTAATATATCAGTGTTTTGTTCAACTAAACAGACGCAGGTTTCACACCTGGTAAGTATATGGTGAGTAAAATGTAACTAAAAGATTATGATAATTTCAATTCATTTTCATTTTCAGACAGAAACGATGCACGTACGGGCGACGTCGGAAACAGCAGAGCCGATGACATCATTACACACAGACGAGGGTTTTTTTCAACAGCTGCCCTCCTGCCATTGTAAGGCGGATGGAAAAAAAAACCAAACGCCTTAATGTAAGTGCAATACCCGCTCATTATCCTCTTTTCTTATACCTTACTGGCTTCCTTTTTTTTTTTTGGGTTTTTTTTTTTTTGGGCTTTTTTTTTTTTTTGCACAAACGACCAATGAAAATCCTGACTTCCTGAATTCTCTGTCACAGGATTCCACTGCTACTGTGTACGAGTTTAACACATACAGTTACGGTCAAGTATTTATTCTGAAAATTGTCCATTTATTTATATTTTGGCCTTTTTTTTTTAAATTTATTTCATTTTTAGTTTGTAGGTTGCTAGGCAAAATTTGGATGCTATGCAGTTGTCAACGTAAAAAAAAAAATTTATTAAATTTATTACAGCCGTGATTTAGTCAATACATAATCTGCCCACTAGAGGGAAGACTAACGTTACACTTGAGTGTTCGACGTGGCAGCACGACCAACAGGGCACTGTTATGAGGAAAATATAACTGGAGTTGCAAACGGTCATCACGTGGTTGATAGCGGTGGCAACCAAGGAGCCGAGATAGTCTACAGAAAAGAGTCTGGGAGGATTGAAGGAGAGAGAGAGGTATTTTTGTTTCCTTCAGTGTACGGGACCTCCAGCAGGTCACGTGACTTCAGCATCTGCCTTTCGCGGCTGAACGTGCGCGCGCGCGAACGAATACATCGATTTTTCTGCTGCAGAGACTTGGACTGAAATAAGCGAGGCGCGCTCCCGACGCTACATGCAAATTCGTTTGTAATCGATTCATTAAATCTGACCTGGATTTCAGTCAAATGCATGCGTGCATCCGAACGATTAGCAGGAGAGGTGCAATCAAAAAAAAAAAAAAAAAGAATAACAAATGGCAGTGGATTGACCCAGGAAATCCAACCACCAAGTATGGAATGTGACAGAACCAGACCGGAGACTTATCAGCGCTTGAATATAAACAAGCGTCTGGAACAGGAGTCTT